GTAAGGACAATAATGATTACTATATACCAGATAATGAAGACGAGGTCTTAGATGTTCTTGATTCATTACACTCAACTGGTTTGATCAGTGTTCTTAAAAGTGAAGACAAGGTATGGGTTATTGTGAATAAGGGTATGCTGCTAACTGAGGTGAATGGGATTCTCTTTGCTCCAGAGACATTCAAAGAACATGTTGACATTGCTAGCAATACTGGTATTGTTAGTGTGTCTGGTCTGACTAGACTCTTCCCTAAATATGATCCTGACATGTTGATCTGTTTCCTCAAGAACATGGAACTCTGTCAACAAATCAATCCATCTTTCCTAAAAATGACAAACCTCCATCAGTTAGCAGTGGAAGAGGAGGAGGAGGGAGGGACAGAAAAAACAGGAGAAAGGTTGTTGTTCTTTCCGTGTCTTTTGTCTAGAGATAGACCTGATGAGATGACTAGTCAAATGTACCAGTTTGGTTGGTGTCTACAGTGTACTAGTAAACATCATTTCTTTCCTCCTCAATACTTCCATGTCCTCTCGTTATGTCTTGCTTATAAAATGGCTCTACCTCAAAAAGACAACCCGTTAATGCGACGTTGTACATTTTGGAAGAATGGACTTTATTGGTTTAATGATCATGATGTAGGATCACTGGTAGAGATTGTGGATGAGAGCCAGTGTGTACTAGTAATGATGTCCTGTGAGAAAGGTTACAGTGACAATATGGTGTCTCTAAGAAGAGATGTGATAGGAGAGGTAATGAGTGTTTATAAAGAATCCTGCCCCAGTCTAGAGGTAAAAGAGTTAGTTATTGATCCTAAAGAACTAGCCTATCCTGTGAATACACCAAGAGAAAGGACAGTGTTTAGTGTAAAAGATATACTGTCTGCTATTGACAAAGGAGAAAAGTACTTAGTTCATGATAATGAAACAAGAACAGAATTGAAGGAGATCCTACCTGATGAATCATTATCTGATATCAGTAACCCGTCACTATTAGGAGGACGTGATATTAAGGTAAGAATTAACACACAAACTGTTTGATACATGTAATACTGTATAGCAGGAAATTTCTGAGGGTATTAAATTTGGCAAATTTAGTGTTTTGATAGCCATTTGCCAAAATAAAAATCCGCCATTTTGAGCCATTATATGCATGCTCAATGGCATGTGGCCCCAAATTTGCCTAATTAAAATCCGCCAATCGCCAAAAAGTAGAAATTCACCAAATTTCAGTCCCTCCAAAATTTCCCGCTATACAGTACCTCTTGAAAGTAATTCTTTCCTAATTTTCAAATAACAATTATACTTGTACGTCTAAACATACCTTTCAAATTATTATTTTTATGTTATAGGAAATGATGAAGAATACCACACAGACACTACAATAAAGCAGCTACAAAATGGATACAATACGCCCGAAAAATGCATTGCTACTAACATTAGAGACAAATAGATGATTGTCTATAGTATTCCCCTTTTTTCCTGTTTATTATTCTTGCTGATGCTTTCCCCATCTCTACAATAAGAATTATCACTGATAGTTTCAAACTATGTTTATTATTAGCAACATTGTTAGTTGAATAGTTACTGTTAGTTCCAAACTATGTTTACTATTAATATACACATAGTTGCTATGAACTATGAATTACAATCCCATAAACTAATGAATATAGATCAGCAGATTATTAGTACTATACATGCTTGTACAGTATATGTACAGTATGTCTTGCTAGCGGATAGTGCAGTATTTTAATTTAATTTTAAATTTTAGTATTTTCTTTCTTTGAATGACGTGATACAGCACATATTTCTGTGTGGAAATAATAAATAACAATAAAAGAAAAATATATAAATACATAGTTACAATGCATACTGTACAAATTTTGGTTATTAATTAAAACAAAGAATATTAAACACCAAATAAAATATAGTAACAACACCTAAACCATTAAAAATAATGAACTAAGTTGTATATGTGACCATGCATGCACAATATATTATTAATGTGGATTATGGAGTTGTGTGTGCATTCAATGCATTGTAAGCTGTTGTCAAGTTATTGGTCATCCTACCAGTATGTGTCATTTATGTCTGGCATTATGTGTTTATTCATAATGTGATTATATAAGGTTTTAAGTCAATTATAAAGAAATTAGGCAAAATCTTGATTACATATCTAATTCTTGAAAAATGAATCTAAAACGCTAAAAATTTTAAACATTAACAGTGAAAATTTATGGCCAATATTAATACTATATGCTAAGAAGGTGTGTATCTACATGTGTCTGATTATTTTTCCTCTTTCCCTCCCTCCCTCTCTCAGTTAATGATAATCATGGCATGTGTATAATGTATGGACAATCAATTCCTAATATGGTAACAATGAATTCAGCTATAAACTGATCACACAAGATGTCATTAGAGGACAAGTGTTGGGTTGATTTTAGAGAAGGAGATCATGAAGAAGCTGTCCGATTACTACCATTAGTAAAGGAAGCAAATAAGATTAAAAGAAATTGGGATCATTCCAGTTTACATCATTTGTCTTCAGGGCAAGGCTGGTTAGATGATACAAAGGAACTCATCACTAAATATCACTGTGACCCAAATGAAAGAGATAGCGGAGGTCAGAATTGTCTTCATTGGGCTGCACGACATAATCATGTTGATGTGATGAGATATCTCATTGATGAGTGTCACTGTGATCCAATGGATACTGATTCATTTGGACATACTGTTCTTCATAAAGCAACTGCTAATGACTCACTAGATGCCATGAAGTACTTGATCAATCATCATCACTGTGATCCAATGGCGACCAACAATGAGGGTAACAATGTTC